CTCCCACCCCCTAACTCCCAGCCTGTCCTTTAAATAATCCTTCCTCATTCCACTTTTGTGGTTGGGGGGGTGGCGATAATTAGTCACAGCTCAAAAGAGTGCTGAATGCTTTTCTTTAAGCCATGCCTGCTACAGAGAGGAAACATGCAGGCGGTTCGGAGTGTGGACACCCCAATCCTAGTTCCTGGGCTAAATGCTGGTGGTTGGAACGTTTTGACACCAGGCCTTTTGCTTCTAGCCTGGGCATATTTTTCTACTTTGTAATTTAACGTGTATCTTTTTTTCATGTTCCTGCCTCATCGGGAAATTGTAAGATTCAGCGGGGTGGTCTGGGGAAATACTCTTTGCCTTGCAGAACTCAGAGATCAGAAACGGGTACCCAGAAAACCACCTCCAACCTGAACCCGGTGTTAACAATGAGAAACTTATTTACGTGAAGGCTGGTTTCTCATTGGTCCACAGGGGCAGATGGCAATTGTGTGTCTCAAAAAAAAAAAAAAAGCTTTTTTGTATCCTCCGACAAGATGACAAGTGGCGTAGTAATTTGACTTAAAGAAAGAACAGCCTAGTGTTTAAAAAATAACTCCTTAGGGATCTGACCATTTTGTTTGAAATCAGGTGTGGGTTTCTTTCCTCCTACCCCTGCATAAAGATGGGGGATTGTCTTAAAAAGGTGGGTTTGTTGTTAGAACTTCAAAATAACTGCCCCTGTGGGGCAAGTTCTCAGTCTCCCTAAACGTGAACGTAATTTGCTCTGTTTCAGCTTGGCTGAAGAGGAAATAAAAACAGAACAGGAGGTGGTAGAGGGCATGGATATCTCTACTCGCTCCAAAGGTGAGTAAAAACCTTGTATCGTCTATTCCAGAGCAGAGGAGGAAATTGGAATTTCTTTTTCTTGTGGTGGTGGTGCAGTGAAGTGTGGCTTACGAGCCAAGGTTGCAACACTCCTCCGATTTTGAGATGTGGCACCTCTTTGATGGATGAACCTAATTTATAGAGAAATCTCCTTTTGATCTTTCCCTTGCGTGTCCGTGTAGGTGTTCTGATCTGTCGGGGAATTGTCCCGAGAGTGAATTTTGCGTGTGTGTCATGACCGAGGGCGGCCAGCTACCTCTCTGCAGGGTGACTTTCAGGAATCAATTTAAATAAAGCATGTTCTAGAAGCCACTAGAGTCGCCAGCTGCTGCTAGGTTTCTGATTTTAATAACAGGCCTCTTTGGAATCGCAGAGGTGGAACGAAGTTGACCCACTTCATTGAGATAAAAAGGAAATGTTAGGACTTCCTGGAATGCTGGGGCCCATGTTTGCATGTAGGACGCAATTTTGCAAATTACAGTAAATGTGGTGTCTGCTTCTATTCAGAATCTCTTGTATTAGAACTCCTTAAAATCTTCTGATGGAGGGGTTGGTACTTTTTGTTTGACCCCTGTGAGACTGGACGAGGTTTCCCACAAGGAAGCAGTTACCCACGTGGGCCTTCTGGGTGCTTTTAGAAATGAGCTGCTGGAGGGTTTTTTCACCGCTTTGGTTGACGAAAGTGCTCATCCTCAAACTTAATGGTTGTACCACGGCGCTGTCATTCCTTCGACAAGTCACTGAGTGCCTGCTCTGAGCACACATGGCCGTGGGTTCTAGGGGAGGCAGGAGGGCTAGAGAGAGGGACACTATGGACTCTGCCAGAGAGTCCCATCTTGCTCAGAGCGTCACAAAAAGTGGCTCCATAAAGCGGTTGAATCCAACAGAGCTTTTGGAGGATTTTTGTAAGACAGCATGTCATTTGGTGCAAAGATGAGGGTCAGATAGTGGCGGCTGGGACCTGGGATGCGGGTGCTGGCTGTTGTGGGAGCCTGGCATACCAGGGGGCTGGGCCTGGTTCTGGGAGGAGGGGATGCATCTCAGGTGGGGAGGCCAGGCCTGGTGGGTGGTCTGTGCCTGGGGGAGTTGGGGGGAAGGACATTGGGAGGGAGGGAGAGCCCAGTCAGAGGGTGGCTGCCCCTTCACCACAGCCCCCACTCAGCAGCCCGTGCTGGCCAGCAGCACCTGAGCCATGGGGGAGTCTGAACAAGGAAAGAACCTTCCTGAAGAGATGTTTTGAGGAGACAGTTGCTGATGGGGAAGCACGTTCCAGCCCCATGTTGTGGTCAGAAGGTGTGGAGTGAGCCCAGAGCATGGGGGCCGGGAGCCGGGGCTTTGTCCTTGCTCTGCCACCCACTTGACACTTTCTGTCTCTGCTGCTCTGTTTTCTTAGCTGTAAAGTTGGGTATCGCATTAGATTCTAAGATTCCTTCTACCTTGGGCTTCTCTTGTGAAAAATAACCCTTTGCTGGTGGCATGTATGAAGGCTGTACTTACAGGATCCAGGAGCCTTTTTTTAGCTGGGAAGAGGTGGGAGGTGGTGTTCCCATTTTGCAGATGAGGAAACTGAGGCTCCTAGTGGTTATGTCTCCCAGGTAGTTAAGTGTAGGAGGGGAGCAAACCATACCAAGGCTCTGCATCCAAGGAGGTGCTTCTTCCTGAGCCCTTGGTGCCTGGAATGCCCTGGAGCCCCGGCGTGGAGACTTCTTCCAAAGGGTCAACACTGGGGACTGACCACTGGGTGGGGCCTGCCTTGCTCAGGCCCTGCCCTCTGCGTGTGAAGATCCTTCTTCTCTTCCCCTTGAGTGTGGAGATCTTGCTTCTTCTTCCAGACCCCTTAGATTCTCCTGGCTCTTCACCCCATGGTCCCTCTTTCTTATCTGCCCCACCCCCATTCTCTCTGACAGCCGTCAGGGCCAGGGTGATCTGGGAAAAACATGTCTTGCTGAGTCCTTCTGCTGACCTTCCAGGGCCCTCAGCCTCCAGTCTGAAGTCACTGGGACCTACCTGCCTGGCCTGACCCCTTCAACTTCCTTCAGCTTTGTTTACCTTGGGACGTTCTGTGCCCTGGACTGGTTCTCTCCCTGACCCCACTGGAGCTCTCCAGCCTCCTTCCCCTCTGCTCCCTCCTGGGGGGGGGCCCTTTACTGGGAACACGCTACTCTGGGTCCTGCTGCAGATTTTCTCATCTCTCAGATTCATCTCAGATGGGGCTCCTCAGAGAGGCCTCTGGCGGCCACCCAGTCCACAGGAGCCATTCCATCATTTTCTGTTACATTAAAAAAAACAAACTTCTAATTTTAGAGCAGTTTTAGATTTCCGGGTAAGTTGTGAAGATAGTACAAAATGTTCCTGTATCACCCCCCCCCACCACACACACACACACACACACACACACACACACACACTACTTACCTTACCTTACTTATATATATATTATTATTTAGTTTAGTTACGTTCGTTCCGTTTCCGTTACTAACTAATAATTAATATAGTGTTGGTTGGTTAGT